TTAATTCAGTTTGATTGATTGACTGTTTCATGGACTGATTGATTGATTGACCAATTGATTGATTGGTTGATTGATTGATTGATTGATTGATTGATTGATCGATTGATTGATTGAACGGTTGATTTTTGTGAATTGAGAGTGGAGGATGGAGAGCATTAAGGGCACGAGAGTGAATGGAGAGTGGACGAGGGAGAAAATTGAGGGCCAGGGAGTCAACCGACTTTAACAAGTGTTGTTCTTTTCGCTTTCTTTGTGTGCTTGCAAGATGACTAAAAGCAGTAGCCAGGCCGTGAAGCAACACTTTAGGGAAGTGGGAATCGGTGGGCAAGCCGACAAGGGGAACAAAAAACGTGTATGCAATTACTGCGACAAGCCCGTGGCTGGGACGGCCAGCAGGGCAAGGGAACATTTCCTCAAGGGGTCGAGATGCGACGTTGAGCGCCTCAGAGGTACTATACCAAAAGAGGAGTACTTGAGAAGGGAGAAGGGTAGGTCGGCTGCCAGGTCCGAGTTGGGGGCAAATATGAGAGAGCCCGAAATGGAGGAGTCATCGGAGGATGAGAATGCTCCGAGGACGTTGGGAGGAGTTCTGGATCCATCAGGGTCTGCGGCAAGGCTTCGCCAGACAAATCCGCGGACGTCGACGACAGGAGTTGTGGATCCATCGAGGTCTGTAGTTGGGCTCCGCCAGACAACGATCACGGACAGCGCTGCTGTCATTACGGCACACGAGCAAACGCAGCGCACGATAGACGACTGGATGACGGCCGAATGCATCCCGTTCAACATGATGAAGAGCGAGTACTCAGACAAAATGGTGCATGCTCTCATGAATGCGCCGAAAGGCTTCACGTACGCGAAGTTCGAAAACGCAAGGACGAAGAGGGTCGAAGTGACAAGGGGCAGGGTTGGGAAGAGGGTGGAGGAGTTGCGACAGGAGTGGCCAACCACTCGCTGCATGTTGTAGCTTGATGGTTGGACAGATCGCCGACAGAGACCACACATCAACGTGATGGTCTCCTTCCCTAAAGGCTCCATCTTTTGGAGAAGTGTGTATGTCACGGCGCAACAAGGGCGCCTCAGCATACGACGCCATTCTGAAGAGGGCAATAGAGGAGATAGATGCGGAGGCAGTGGTGGGGGTCATTATGGACAATGCTGCTGTTTGCGAAGCTGCGGGGCGAATGATTGAAGCAGATTACCCTCACATCTTCTCTGTCCCGTGCACAGCACACTCCCTCGACTTGATGTTCGAGTCTTTCGCGAAGATCGGGTGGGTCGGTGCAATTATTAAAAGGGCATCGGAGCTTGCAAAGTTCTTCACTAACCATTCGCGGGTGCGGGACCTCCTCATCCACTACTCTAATGGCGGTGTAGTGTCAAAACCGGGTACGACCCGGTTTGCCACGAACTTCATCATGTTGTCAAGCCTGCAGGGGTTGTATTTGCCGCTGCGTGCGTGCGTGACAGATGACGACTTGAAGCCAACGATCGTGCACACTTCGCTGCGCGATCTGTTTGTGAAGGTGACACATTCCATTTTGGACGACACCTTATGGGAAGATGTCGAGAAGGTGATGCAGACGTCCAAGAACCTACTCAAACTTTTGAAGAAGGTCGATGGCACGGGCCCCACCATTAGCAAGGTGTATGCCCGTATGGACAACGCAGTGGAGAAACTAAGGGAGAGCAAACACTTTGCAAAAGCGGAGAAGGACGAACTCGAGGAGATCATCATGCGGCGCTGGAATGCAATGACATCACCGCTACATTGTGCTGCGCTGTTCTTGGATCCGGAGTACAGAGCGTCGCGGCCAGAAACGGATGCAGAGGTTGCAGATGGGTTTTGGATGTGGCTTTACTCATGGTGCAAAGAGTCGTCGTTTGTTGAGGTCGACGCAGAGGTCTGTTGTTGGATTGAGGTCACTGGGGGACACAATTGCGAAGATGCAAGGACGCAGGCCCGTCTGATGCAGCCGACGAGGTGGTGGAGGAAGTGGTGCTGTGACATGCCCATCCTCCAGAAGCAAGCCGTTTGTCTGCTTGGACAAGCGTCCTCCTCCTCTTGTTGCGAGAGGAATTGGAGCTTGTTCGAACGAATTCATAGTCGTCTCCGTAACAACCTCGGCGCCATCAAGCTTAGCACGCTGGTTTTCAACTGATGGAACCAGCGTTTGTTGGATGCGTTGATCAAGAAGCCGAAGGCCGATCAGGGTTCACCGCAATGGGAAGAGGATGAACCGTTGGAAGATCTCACACGGGATGAGATGGCCAAGGATGCACGGATGCGGTTGGCGGAGTGGCGTGCCCGGCTGCACAGAACAGAGTCGGTTAGTGATGCAGGTGAGAACGATGACTCAGGCTCCGACGACGACGACAATCCTGTTGAAGCACCACAAATGCCTATTCCAGAGGAGGTCACATTCCAACGTCATCGGCTGCGCAGCAATCTGCTTGAACTCGAGAGACAACTCAGTCGTGGAGGAAGGCCACAAAGGCTTCCAAGTTTCTGGCCCGGCAACATTTGCATGAGTTGGATCACGCCACGAGGACCATGACCGTTGAGCATGCCAACAAATACAAAGCTGCCAGGGCAATTGCATGTGCACCGCCCTCGATCCCGGCCAAACGAGGGAGAGGAAGACCTCGGAAGGAGGTTGCAACTCGAGGCAGGACAGGTGATGAGGAGGCTCAGGGCGTGAAAGGTGGCAGTTTGGCAGAAGGTCCTGCACCCGCACGTCTCACAAGAAAGCGGGGTCGACCGCAGAAGCAGCCCGTGCAAGAGGAGGAGGAAGTAGCGCCAGAAGGGACAGGCAGCGATGAAAATGGTGGCGGCGCTGATGAAAATAATGGTGGCGGCGACGAAAGTGATGGCAGCGGCAATGGTGACGACGGGAGCGGTGGCTGCGATGGGACTGATGGCAGTGGCAAGGAGGACGAAGGCGAAGGCGACGAGAAAGATGGTTGTTCGTCGGAGGAAGAGGGCGACTCCGAATCAGAACCCCTATCTAAATCGCGCAAGACATCCCATTGACGCGCGCGCGCGCGTGTGTGTGTGTGTGTGTGTGTGTGTGTGTGTGTGAGAGAGAGAGAGAGAGAGAGAGAGAGAGAGAGAGAGAGAGAGAACTGATAGTGCTGGTAGTCTGAACACTCTTCAAGTTCAAACTTCTAAGTTATTTAAACTTTTTCTAACTTTTTTTGATTTTTTTTTTTGTTTTTTGTTTTACAAGTCTTATGCCTGCTTTGCACTGTTCAAAACTCTGCATGTTTGGTAGTTCAATGTGGTTGTTGATTTGCAGCAAGACAGGTGCTCTGCTGCTCCGAAGTGCAAAGCAGGTAAATCCCTGCCG